AAGGTGTGTAAGTTTATTGCAAACTAAACAGCGTTATGTACCAAAAATCAAAAACAAGGTTGAAGAAATGGGGAGGCGGGTCACAAAAATATATAATTTATCAATATATAATTGAAGTTGGATAACAAAACCCTCAGTATAACTTGGCCGGAAAAATATACTTGACTATGACAAATGAAAAAGTTTTGCTATGAAAAAGTTTGTTTTGTTTTCCTTCTTATTCCATGTCAATAACCCCCTCCCTTTAAAAAAAGAAATAAAAAATAAATCGCTTCCTATGTGTCGGATATAATCTACATGTACTAATACCGCAAACAAAGGGAAGTAACCTGCATTATACCCATTTATTGTTACCTGGCAACAGGAAGCGTTCAGTATTCTCCACTTCCTTCAAAGATTTTTCGGTGTCTGTGTATATGTTATTTGCATGTTTTTGCTATTTAGAGGGGAAAGTAAGAACTGTTAATTATTCATTCTATAAGATATTTGCTAAAATGAGTTAAAAAACAAATTGATTTATTTTTTTAAATATGTTGGAATAATAATGCAACATTATGAATCCCTCAATCAGTTATTAATCAAAGACGAATACAACCAAATTGTTTTAGGAAAAGATAAGAAATTATCATGAAAATGAAATCATTTAATCTCTAAATTATGTTTTATCCTAGCACTACATGGTTTGGGGTGGGTATAAGCAACTTATACTTTAATTAGGTTATAGAAATTAGATTAACTAAATTGATTCAAAATAAACTTCTTAACTTGAAACTGATGAAATATTTAGCATGTGGCTAATACTCGTAACTCTATAATTAAGCTATTAATTTTAATGTGTCATTTAATCAACCAATCAAACCACAATTACACAACTGTACAGTGACCTAGCATCTTTTTTGAAAGGGGGCAGCCAGAGAAAAAAAAATAACTTACCTGAAAAAAAAATTTACAAGCAAAATGTCCAAACTCGAAAATCCTATTTCGTGGGTGGAGGGGGATAAGCCAGCAGGAAGTAAACATGCAGTGGGATTAATACCATATTCAAGGCTATTTTTACAACCCGTTGCACCCTCTCAACAGAATTACGAAAGGTGCATTATGCACGGGACTATTCTTATGAGCTTTCGATTCCGCTCCACGTGAATGTACATGTACAACAAGTTGACCTGCAGAATTTTCGGAGTACATATTTGGCCATGTATGGTATATTTAGTACATGTACAATCTATTAGTATAATGCTCTCTCTCCTTCTTCCTTTCTCTCTCTCTCTCTATCAAAAGGAAATGTTTCAATGATTTTTGCATGAATTGTCTCATGTCACTCTCGATTCGCATTTATGTCCAGAATTTATGTGCATGTTTTGGTTATTGTTTTTCGAAGGTGTATTTCAGGGAAACTTTTAGATTCTGTAGGCGAAATCAGGTGTTATTTAAAAGTGTCCATGGGACAATGCTTCATGTTCATTTCTTTTCAATATAAAAACAAATGTCACGCCAGGTGCACGAAATGCGTGCTCAGAAAAGAGAGCAGCCATAACCCTGCCTCTAAATTTTACATTTTAAAAACTTTATCCTGTGCGGAATTTTCATCCTGATAAATATTTTTCTTTTATTAAAAAAAATTTGGACCCTGGCCACACTGCAAATTACGAATTCACTCCTGGTAATGCATTTTTATATGCATAGCTGAAACAAATACGCATGTAGGTAATGTTTTGTCTTACTAGTAATTTTAGAAAAATTGTCGTCTACAATAAAGCAGGAAAAAACACATAGTCAATTATTTTCAAATAATTAATTATATACCTAAAAGAGGCATTTATTCATCATTGAGACTTGCTATCAGTCAAAATTTAATTCCTATGCAAGCACTGTACATTGATAAAAGGTGGTGGATGTTGGAATTCCTTTAATAAATAAAATATATAGAGACGGAGAGAATTTATTGATTTGTGAACTTGGTTTCCACTACGACTACGAGGCGCGACAAATGCGCATTTTCAGAACATAAGAAAGGGGGGTGTCCTTCCAATATACTGGAAGTTCATGCAGTGCCAAATTCAAAGTTTCAGTGGGTATAAATTATATTGCAGCAATGCGTATTATATGCATCTTTATTAATGCAGTGTCAGAGATGACAATTACTTTGATAAAGCTCTTCAGGCCATTTGAGTGAGATTAATAGAAAGATACAATAGAATCTGTTCCTCAAACTGCTCCAAAAAGAATAAATTAATTTGGAAAAAAAAAACCACAAGGACAAAAAGTATTTTCTACGAACCCTTGATTTAATTTAAGTGTAAAATATTATACTTCCTCTCTCGTCGCGGGTTCGAATCCCACCGCGGGACATGGAGACCGGTCCTTTGGATGAGACCGAATAAACCAAGTTTCCGTGTCGCAGTAGGCGCTGGCACGAAAAAGATCCCTACCTGTTCAATGGCCCTCAGGACAGAGTATAATACAAAATTTTTCTCCACCGGTAAGCAGTAATGTCTCCATATGAGTGAAACATTCTCGAGAGGGACATTAAACAGTATATATATACAACCAATCTTCTTCTCTGGAAAATGATAGGGCCGTTTGTTATCAGAATGCCCCTTATTAGCAGACATAATTTCCGTATTCCGAATTTATTCAAATTCGTATACATGAGACACAGGAAAGTATTTCTGTGGCCTTATAAATTTACATATCCACAACGTTCATGTATTATCAATTCGCAAAAGTTACTTTCATTCATATGTCGACTCGACATACCATGGTCATGAAATTGTTCAAATTGTTCAATCTTATGCATAAAATGACGAGAAAAAAACTTCTGAAACAAAAGAGCATTCAAACTATCAATCTGATCTGAACTCTGTACATGTATTTCTTTTTTTTTTTTGGGGGGGGGGGTTGGGGGGGGGGGGGTGGCGTGGCATAAAAGTCTTTACTATTAGTTGAATCTGAGTTTTCCGTCGAGATTTTACGAGTATAGACCATATAAACAATAAACCTCCTCCCCTTAAAAGAGAATTAATTTGACAAAATTGATTGTAAAAAAAAGAAACAAAACATCTGGTGTCTCTTTATTTTATGAAAAACCTGATATTTCTTCTAAAATGCTAAGATTACCGATCATAAAAAGTGACAATAACATTAAAATTAAATAAAAATCACTTAAATGTAATATCATTTGTTGTCCGAGGTGATTTTTCTTGTGCAGTTTTTACAATAAAACTATGGAAATGCGAGGACAAGAAATTGACGTCCGATAAAACACGGCGTCATAACGAAGAATTTGTATTTTTTATTTGAAAAATATCACTAATTTTTAGTCTTTGAACAACTACATGTTATATATCATTTGAAAGAGGAGAAAATTTTCTATCAGGATCACTAAACAACTAAAAATGTCAAAATTTTCACTTAAGGGTGGTTTTTGCTTGACGGTCATCATATCAGTTTAAATACTGAGACATTTACTTATATTTTTTCACAGTCGAAAAAAATTTTTAAAGAGGTCCTGAAGACAGATAGATACTATAACTCAGAAGAAAAAAAGAGAGAGGTAAAATATTTCAATCAATCTGGCCGATTAAAATTTGGGGGTTACAAAAAATATCGATGTTATGTTCCACATGATATCTGGAAATGCTAAATTTACATAAAAAGACAACAATAAGATACTTAACAAAAATCATGTTAGCTTTTTGTCGAATTTTTTTACAAATACAAAAATATTTAAAATATTTCTATCAGATATGTGCCCTATTTTCTTACAAAAATCTGAGAGAAAACAACCGGTAAATGTGGCAACGGTCTATTTAAAAAAAGGTTCTTTAAAAAAATAAAGATTTAATAATTTGCTAAATAAATGAGAGAACATAGGTGCAATTTTTATTTCCGAAAAATAAGATAAATGATTTTTGTAATAATAATAATGATTACAAAACGTGGAAACAAAGAAAAGGCTTCTTTTTATTATGATAAAAAGAAACAAGTGCTCCAAATATCTTTTATTAGTTTTCATGTATGTAGAGAGATCATTAGAACACGTGTATATAACCATATGAATGACTTTCAATGTTAATTTTTATATTCGAATTGCACCAAGTAAAGTTATGCTGATCACATGCAAGGGTTGTCGAAATTTCGGTACGTGGGTATATTCCTGTGTCTGAAAGCGCAGTTGCATATAAGCATAGAGAAATGAATAATATTTTCTAAGAGAATAAAGTTAATAGAACTTTTCCATTGGTCATTTTAGATAGATCTAAGACATTGTGACATCTTTTTATTCCCAAGAAACATAAAAACAATCAAAGACATATTACATGTATAAAGGGAAACAGTGAATGCCTTGAAGGATTGTAACTATTAAAAATATCTATAATGTACATTTTCATATTTTTATATGATATGTTGCATTATCTATTGAATGACCCTCGTAAGCAATCTCTAGATTATCTAAATATTCTACCGGCCACGGTAGGCTAATGGTAGAGCTTTCACTTCGTGATCGGGAGGCCCGGGTTCGATTCTCGTCCGCGGCGCCGCGTCATACCTAGGACGTAAACATAGGTAGTGACTGTTCCTTCGCCAAGCGCTCGGCACTAGAAGTGAAAGTCACGGGTATTTCGGATATGACCTTAAAAACGTAGGTCCCGTGTCACGGTACATGTAGGCGCTGGCACGATAAAGAACCCTCACTGCTCAATGGCCCTGAGTGCCGAGTATAGGTCTAAATTTGAAGCCCTTCACCGGCATACGGTGACGTCTCCATATGAGTGAAAAATTCTCAGGAGGGACGTAAAACAATATACAATCAATCAACCATCTAAATATTCTTTTTTTCACGGCAACGTCGTTATTCATCAAAGAGAACATAAACATACGTCATGAATACTATATTGCCATCATTGAAAATTACAAATCCTCAAATTGTTCTTTCTTCTGAATAGCCTTTGTAAACTTATTTGTAGAATTTGATTTTACAAAATGCAAAAAACAGTAATGCACTTAACAAGACCGTATACACTATATACCGAAAAAAAAAAAACATAATATGAACAAATTCACAATATAAATATAAAATATCTGGAAAACAATTAGTGATATTGAAATTAAAATAAAAAGACTAAATTAAAATGACAACTCATTACAACTTCAGATCCATGGCGGATTTATTTTTAATTTGTTGCGTAATTTCCAAAGAAATGCCATGTGTACTGGAAAAAATATCATTAAATTTTACACTAAAAAAATAGTTAATATTTCTACCAATATTCGTGATTTTGAAGCAATAGAAAATAGTTAATTTTTTTTTCTCATATATCATAGTGAGAATAAATGAAACAATACTTTCAAAAAATGAAAACAAATCAATTCTATAAGAACATATAATGATATTTTTACAGAATCTTTGAGTCACCATAAATATAGAACGCTTTAATTGACTTATTTTTGAAAACAAGTACTTTTCATGAAAAAATTCTGATTGTAAGATTTTCAGAAATGATTTTACTGGCTAAGTATAACTATCGTCAAATTGGTAACCTTTACGAAAACTGTTTTGATGCATGATAATAAAGACGAATCATGACGAGAATGAATAGAATATTTTGTTAAAATCATGCAAAGCTTAATTTTTGCAGTCATGTCTCCATACCTTCTTGTTGGAAAACATGCAGTTTTACATTTAAAGATTCTAAAATAGGTTCTATTGGAGTAACTACAGTTGTATAATAGGAAGTTCCACCAACAACCATTCCAATACAAAATAAATGATCATCTCCGTCTTCATTGTTTCGAGGATCTACTTGAAAGACAAGAGCACCGGAGTCTCCTTGAAGGGCAAATGGTTTTGGTGGTATTCCCGTATTTTCAAGTTGTGAAAGATAAACTTGTGCGTTCTGTGATGGTGGGTTTGTAAGGCAGAGATGTGCATCTCGGCATCTAGCAGCCATTCCATTCACACTCAAAGAACCTTTTGTAAGCCCACTTCTTGCACCACATTTAATACAAAGGTTTGTACGTTTGGTATGTGTTCTGCAATAATCACGCGTTGCCCCTGTGGAGTATTCTGGAATATTTTCTAAACTGAACCCTAAGAAAAAAAGAAACATGAAATATTTTATCAAAAAGATAAGACAATTAAAATTCAATAGGGATTTTAACTGAAAATTTACCAGCTTCCAATAAATCGTTCGCCATCAACTCTGCAAAAAGTCCGCGTTGTGAAACGCGGTCATCCAACCTTACAAGGGATGCATCCACTGTTACTCCTCGGTGAAATTGCAAAACAGACTTTATGTGTAAACCACTTGTTGAATTTGTATTCCTGTAGCCGTAAGACGGTTGGACGACTTCTAAGGCTGTCTTTTGTTGGGATCTGTTGCTGGAAAAATTACATAAGACATGGCCACAAGTAATAAATCCCATATCTCCTGTGCTGAGAGCCACGAAACCACCAAGAGTTCCCTCATTGTTTTCATCTGTAAGCAATATGTTTTTATTATTTGAAAATTATGCATATAAAATCTTTTATTTACAGAAACTAATGAATGATTAAATCAATTATTCCCTAAAATATAAATTGTACAAATCATCTTTCTGATTTTTGTTGGAATGCAAAGGTCAGTTGGTATGATATATATCAAAAACAATAAAATTTTACTATTTCCTATTTTTTTTACGTGGTACTACTAATTTGCTGTTTAATGTGCCTGTTTCAAATAGATTTTATTTGCCATATATGAAAGACAACCAAATGTAGATATTTCATTCGTTATTTTTACGTTACCAAAAAAACCTTTTTATACCTGTTTTTCCTATACTTGCCCCCATCATCAATGGATTCAGTACATCAGACGCTCTTTTGAAATAACTCTCATTTGGAAATGAATAAAAGAAACCCCCTCTTACATCCGTCTTTATTCCGTTTAGTTCTTTTGGGAACTCTTTTTCCTCGTACGGTACAACTCCTTTGCAAGAGCAATGCAACACAATGCAGGGTACAAAATAAATTATCTCTCCATTGTTTGTGGAATGATATGCACAAGCTGATATAATTTCTAGGTTTGAATGTTTCTCAAGAAGATTATTGGCATTATCTTTTATTTGTCGTTCTATTGCTGATAATTTATCGTCGTTGATAATATTCTTATGTTCAAATTGAAATCTGGAAACAAGCATGCATTCGGAGGAGGGCTGCATCCAAAGTTTGCAACAAATATAAACGTTTTTACTACGATATTGAAACTCTTTTTCCTCAATGACTTTTAGTTTATCAATTACCACAACTATCATCTCTCTGTCCCATCTGTGTTTGTTTTCCCAGATAAAGGTGAACGATATTTAAGTTCTTATACTTCTTACTAATCCATTTCTCAAATTCTTTGAGTAGTGCCTTTCTGTCCCCGATGCGATCTTAATACCAGTCAAATTTAAATAGACATCCCTTTGTGAAATTATATATTCCAAAAAAAGATATATGTATACAGTGAGAACTTCGTAAAAATCAAATAGGATTCAATATTCTGGAGAAGGCTAACATACAATATAAGCAGTGCAAAATGGCTGATCCATATATGCATTCGCAAAAAGAGTTATGCAAAAAAAATGTTTAAATAGTCTTCTACATATGCACAAACTACTCTAGACGTTTAGAGATGCTTAGCTAATTAACATTAATCATATGTTCGTTCTTGAAAATATTTACATTTATAGTCTATTGACTAAAATATTGTTATATTTTCTGACAATGACCAGTATTATTTTTTAATAAGTATTTCTAAAGTTAGTCTTACAGTGCCTTACTTGTAAAAAGTAAGCATTCCATTCACATGTATGTAGGTTAATTAATATGAAAATAGATTGTATTTTAATTTCTAAATATGATTCTGTCTTAATAATTAAACGACCTGTATTTATAGAGTTCTAGATAGGCTTTGGTAATTTTAGTGCATTTAGAACGACGGCAAAAAGAAAAAAAAACATTTTTTTCAAGATTTTAAAACTGTTTTGAAATAGTTAAAAAAAGACTGTTTCATGGCTTTATAATTTGTGAATTCCGAATTTTGTTCCCATTTTACTGTTTTCCATGTCTCTTTACACTGTGTAATCAAACTCACTGTCAATTCCGACACAAAAATCGACTCCCAGTGCCTGTCGGATGAGACAGGTTTCACTGTATACCGTAAATCTGGAAAATTTTGGTCGATTTTATTTTGCGAATTCGGTTAAAAATGCTGTTGATTAATTTTTACGTTTCAAAATTTTGCGAATGACCACTGCTTTGTTTACAATATCTTATTGGTAATTTATTTTTAAGAAAAATATTTTTGCGTATGCAATGAAGTCGCAAATTTGCTAAAAATTTATCCACAGCAAAGTTTCCAGATTTACGATATACAATGTAAGAAGAAACGCCCAGAGGAAACCTATAAATTTAAAACCAAGTTGAAGTATTATCAAGTATTATACTTTTACAATCACAATTCAATGTTCTTTATGATTAGTTTAGACATAAATCATAAAAATCTGCATTGATCAGAATCGGGAGGGATCTAAATTTAAAAGACGTGTGACTTTCATATACCGCTCTCTTGTACATGTAAAAAATGTGAACTGGATATTTGCCAAAAAGAATAAAGATTTAGAAAAAACAATAATGGGTTTCTTTCTATGACTTGTAGTTTAAAATTACCTTCATGCAGAATATCCCGGTATGTCCTTTTAGAATACACGCCTATTGTTTCTATATTATAACTACTAAAAATCAGTCAATGGACTAATATAAACATTAAAGTACAGATGATTTCCTTTAAAGACTCAAGAATATACTAAAAAAAATCAAGAACCTCTTATCTTTATATTAACAAAAAAAATTGACTTGATTTACTGTGAAAAGAAAATGCAATTTTACATTATTCCAATAGATGTGCTTTTTATGATTCTTTACACAGTCCGAAATTTAATTTGTTTGTTGTAATTTAACAAAAAAATAAAACAATTCTCCACTCTTCGGATTTATTTCGAGAATGTACATGTAATAACACAGTACATTTTACCACTTACCAAAGTTGGTCTTGTCATTTTTTTCTCCTACAAAAAAAAAAAAAAAAAAATCCGTAATTTCGTGCAATTTATTAAAAGTGCAAAATATAAGAATATTTCTCTAACCGTAACGTAAAAAAGAAGAAAAGCCCTTATGCATATTAAGTCTTTTAGACCTTTGTTGCTTTCTAAAAGTAGATGGGAATAATTTAACACTTACTTTTATTATTGTTTTCCTTCTTTACAACTGCAACAAAAAAGAAAAAAGAGCTTAGTATACTATGTTTAAAGGACTTAAAAGAAGGGAAATGTAAGGAAGATGACGGTTTGTAAAGTAGGAAAACCAGGGTCAACCTTAATTTGTCTTCTTTCTATGTTTAGCAAGTGCCTTGCAACACCACAGCCAAAAGACCTAGAGGGACTGTGAGCAATAAGCTCAATAAAGGGTAATCCGCATCCATGTATAATAATGGCAGTGTCGACGTTTGCTGTGGAAAACTCAAAATTTGTGTTGGATAAAAAGTAAAATAGGAGGTGTCAATGGAAATATGTAATAAGATAAAATTTCATTTCGGTGGTATGAGAGAAATTGCGGACAAGAGATAGTCACCATAAAGCGTAACAGACGGACGGACACCCCGACTACTACGTATGTGTATACCATTCCACATATAAAGCGGGGGGGGGGGGTATAATAATCGACCAGGGATTTCTTGTCAAGGATGTAGTGGGAATTCTTTAAAAATTTTACGAGCGTAAAACACTAACTTTTAAAGATGAATCATGTTCTTTATCAATTAATAAAATTTTATATCGTCGTTCACTTAGTTTGTTTTTCACGCGAACCTAAATTATATATGATATATGACTGTGACGCGCCAAGCAAAAACCTCCCTTATCTCTATTATGACGTAACGTCAGAAAACGCGTCTAAATATCATAAGGACGTAAACGCTGTATTCTCGTCTGCTATGTGTTTAACTTCCTTGTTCAAGCAATGATAACAACGTTATGGAGGAATTTCAGGTGAGTTTTTTTTCTGACCTTTACATCAGCATAATATATTTGCAAAAAAAATTTAAGTTGATTTTTTTTTTAATTAGAGATAGAATATATCCTGAATGAGAAAAAAAATATTTGAGAAACTTGTTGGACCAATATACTGTCATGTTGATTGTCTATCGTTAAATGCAAATTCGACTTTTTGGATGCATGCAGGTGTGGATTTATTAATTTTCTTTTACACTTCAAATGAGAAATTTAGCATTCATATTTCAATAGAAATATAATATAAACTTTGCATTTTCATTAAATTATACCGCACTGGTGCACAGGATTAATTACCTTTATGCACAAGCTCTGCGTAAGCATTATTTAAGCAGAGCTCATGGCTTGGTCAATCAAGCAATTTCTATTGACTTTATTGATAAAATTGCAAACTCCTGTTGCTATGCTTATTGAATAATGTGGAATATAAAGGGATGTATGAAATTCAGATTATTTGATTACGACAGTGTGAAAACTACCAGTATAAACTTTGTTGCCAAGTTGTTGCTAATGTAAACAAAGGGGCACAACCCTAATTTTTTTTCAGAAATGAAATTCAAGAATTCGAGAATTTATCTAATGCAGTTACAATTTGTTAACGAAATGCCTATCAATTGTGTTTGTGAATATAGATAAATTTATAATCATTAATAGGCAAAATTGTACTATTATCAGAAACCCTTGGCTAGCGAAGATGCCTGTATGACTTGGCCGAGTAAATTTAAAACTCAAGAATGAATGGCCGTTCCATTCTAAGAAAATCATTCATCATTTTGTTTAAAAAAATATGATACAGTAATCAATTTACTACAAACACAAAGGAAGACCCAATGTCAGGCTTTAAAAAAATCACATGCATTTGTTTCAGGCCTACTAAGATTTATATGAATAAAGGTTTAGAGGACCTGGTACAAATATGGTTAATATATCAATTTAAAGTATTAGATCTGATGAATAATCAGTTAAAACAAGGCACACAATTCTTCACAAAATTGTTAAGATTTACCCTAAGTTCTTTTATCTTTTAATATCTCAAAAATTTGAACATCAACTAGAGTTTAACCTGTGCTATTACCAAACAAATAAAAAATAAAATAATAATAAGTTGTAAACAAAAGAAGTTCTCGACTGATTTAACGGTTCAAACCACCAAAAAAAATCGTCTATAATTTTTATGTAGTAGTAAAGATAAAGGAAAAACAGATACATTTTAAATCGAGGGTGGATCGGGCAACGGAAAACAAAAACATATATTTAATTTTGACTTCAGTCACCATTTTCATCTAATACCCCCCCCCCCCCATAATATTAAACATGCAAGGATTGTACTTTGAACAAATATTTTTATCATAATAAATAAAATAAATGATTAATATAATAGATGAATTTTTTTATCAAACACATTTTGGAATGCACGAAACCTTTTTAGAGTCACTTGTATTTTATATGTGCTTGATTTTTTTTTTTTTTGGTAGGAGCTAGAGGAACTAATAAACGAACATTTTGGAGTAAGTTGCAGAAAGCGTAAATCAATTTTTGTAGAAGATACTTCCTTTGATGACGATTCAGAAGTTGATGAACCTTTATCAATAAAGAATCGAGCAGAACATTTTTTTCAATTCAGTTCAATGATGAACGATTAAGTGAAACTGAGGAAGATGTTATTTTTGATGTGATCCAAAGAGGATGCAAATGTGTGAAGATGTGTCTCAACAATTTCTCAATACAGGAAATTATTGATCACATATACTCAATACGAGAATTAGTAAAATCTGAAAAGGAAGTCATGATAATGACAACATTATATGATTTAGTATTTCGCCCGAAACCTAAATGTCCTCGAAAAAGAGTGAGATATAATTTTCACTTTTCGTAGTCAACAAATCTGTATAGCTGCTTTTGAGATTGTATACGATGTGAAAGAACATACTTTAGATAGTCTTCAAAAGCATGTTCAAGCACACAGAATAACTCCACGAGTTCATGGAAACAAGGGTAGAAAAGCCCCAAACGCATTCAAGTTCGATGAGATTTTTAATGTTGTTCAATGCTTGCAGAACTACGCCACTCAAAATGGTATTCCACAACCGGCTGGGCCCAGGGGCGGTGGTCCAGAACCTCAAGTTTACTTACCATGTTCCAAAACAAAAGATGAAATTTACAGGCGTTATACAGAGGATTGTGGAATGACAGGGATACGTCCTCTAGGTTTATCTTCTTTTAAGGACGTGTGGTAGAAATGACACCGCACATCAAAATAAGTAATCCACGGATCGATGTGTGTCATTTGTGTAAAAAGCATAGAAATGCTATAAGAGAAGCTGTTGGTGATGCAGAGAAACTAGAAGCTACGATTAATTTCCAAAATCACCTTCAAATGGCAACAAGAGAAAAACAAGCCTACCAACAAGCGTGACAGATTCTGTAACTGAGCTTCAAGGCATTACAAGAGGATATGGACCTGTAGATCCATGCTCTAAGCCTTATACTAAAGTTCACTTTACATTTGATTTTTCTCAGCAATTGTTTTTGCCTCATCACTCCAGACAAATGGGCCCACTTTATTTCTTGGTTCCTCGCAAAGTTCAACTTTTTGGA